GCCCGCCCCGGGGGCGCAGCGGCAGCCCCGCGGCCGGGTCCTGCTCCCTCCCCGCCGCTCCCCCGCGCACCGAGGCGGCAGCGGCTCCCCGAGCTCCAGCCTGCCGGGATCCCGGCCAGGCGTCCAGCAGGCAAGTCCTCCGAGCGGTCCTAGTTCTGGGGGGTGAGCGCCATCCCGCCCGCAGAGAGCTGGGGCTGCAGGAGCCGCTAATGCAGATGTTTTCATTCGGTAATTAATTCTCACTCCGAGAGCGAGCCAGGAAGCAAGCTGCACTGAGGTATCATTACGGTTTTCACCTACAGGAGATGACTGAGACAACCTGGCCATATCCTCTCCTTATGGTTTTCAAGAGTCTGACTGCTCTTTTCCATCCCTCTCCATCCCTCCTGCCATTGCCCTTAAACTGACTGAACCAAAAGTTATCGCTCACCAGATACGGTAGAATAATGAGGGTGGGGAGTTATTCATGGATTATTTATTCCACAATCAATGAGGCAAAGAAAGATGAAAACAATTATTTCTCAGGTGTTATATAGAGAAGGCTGAGAAATTGAGAGGTATAATTTCTTTAGAGGAGCCCCAAAGCAGGGATAAATTATTTTCAGTGACTAATACACATGCTGTTAACAAGTATCTGCTGTTATTTACCGAGTGTGATGAAGTGGTTAAGACTCTGTGTAAGATGAGATTTTCGGAAAGGCCTTGGGGTATTAGGTTCTGCAATCCTATTGCCGCTCAGAGGGAGTACAGTGCCTACCTTTTAGGTCACTTTGAAAACTCATCCATACATAATATGTGATATCCCAGGAGAGCTGTGGCCTAGAGGTTTGAGCACAGCACAGGACAAAGCTTAAGTGCCAGTCCAGGGAAAATGTGTTTCTGTAATCTTGTCCAACTGCCATAAGTTTTCCTCCTTGAACCTTGCCTTGCCTTGCCTTAGCCATATCAAGTATTAATATATTCATATTTTAAATACGTTCACAGAGATAATGCAAATATATCTGTAGCAAATGTGGAATGAAAAAGTGCACTATGAAGGCTGTCATTATACTTATTTCTAGTTTTGGAAGAATAAATATTCCCATAGAGACTTTGTTACCTCTTTTCTGCATCAACCTGAGCCCTCTGCTGTGCTCTCCCCATTCCTTGTACCTACAGAGACTTTTTGATGTTCAGTAATCATCAAGATACATGAGGTTCTGAAGAATTAACTAAGAACCAAGTATTAATTAGTGACATTAAACTAGTTCAAAATTGCCTTTTTCCATAACTTCTTTCTTGTTAACATCTTCCATTCTCCTCTTGCTCTATATCCCACAATTTTTCAAATTTGTAAACTGCATTTTCTGCTACAGCAGAAGCGATAGTGCTGATATACTATCAGGCACTGACTGCATATATTCACTGGAAAAAGAAAAACTTCTATGACATGCAAAAAAATCCTACTGCTTTCATTCTGAGATCTTACAACCCTTTAAGTATTCATTGGCCTTTATTGTTCACCAGAGTAAGTAATAAACAGCTTCCCTGAGTAAATATTTAAAGCTCAGCAGAACATTTTGAGAACTAAATTTCTGCTTTTTAACGTCCTTACAACAAGCACAACAAAAGCAATATCATCCCCCATTTATACTTCTATACATATATATATTTGCTTATCACCCATTTCATGAAGTGCTCCACTGGACAAAAATCTGACTTGATTTGAGTTGTTCAGACTTCACACTTCTTTAGCATATGCTAACTGAGGGTTTCAAAAACATGCTCAAATTGCTCACAAGTAGGCACGCATTTAAAAAATAGTTATAAAAGGTAAAACAAGTAATTCAAAACAGGAAGACTCAGCAGGTTGATTGATGAATATCTCAATAATGGTGATAGCAGAAAGTTTCCTTGTGGTTTGAGACGGAAGAAATGGCACAGATTATTGCATTTTTCCCCACCTCGGAATAGGTTCAGTCCTTAAAAACTGCATAAAATATTTAAACTATGTAGCAACACCAATGAGTTGTGCAAGGATAATGCAATTATTTTTAATGTAACCACAACTGGGGCCTGCAAAATCATTAACTTTGACTGATTCTGTCACACAAAAATAATTACAAAGATTGTCAGACATCTTTTAGTCCTATAAAATAAGCTAACCATCATACATATACTCCATATACTCTTCCTTTTTTTTTTTTTTTTTTTTTTTTTTCCTGGAGGATGTTTTGAAATATTACTTTACATGATTCAACAAATCCAACTTGAATATATTAACCTTTGAAATGAAAACATGGTCAAATTCTGTTAGGGCACAATATGAAGTTATTAGATACTTCTCTCTCCTACTCTTCCTCCTACCCTTTCCTTTCCAGAGTGTAACTGTGAGGATATTTCTAAGCAAGCGGTGAGACACTCCTGCAATCTGAGCAGGGCAGCTGCAAGCTTTACACTCCTATCCTGCAGCCAGGAAGTGCCTACAACTTGGATCAACAGGGACCTGTACTCCACACACTACAGGTCAGGCAAGTGTCCTGGCAAGCTGGGACAGACACACCAGCCAAGATGTGCAGAAGGAGGATTTTCCAGCAAAGCTACTCCCATAAAAATAAATTAATCCTTCCTTATTTTTCAAATCAACACTCCCAGAGCCTTAAAATCTGGGGAGATATCTCAGTCTACTGGTGAAACCTCCTTGGCAATGAGTAAGACACTAAAGGGTTAAAAGACTCTTGTTATTACAACTGTACACAAATTTTATTGAGCTTAATGGAAATTATACACACGTATTGATGAATTAATAGATCATTCTGAATTTACTAGGGCTGTCAAGCATTGCTTGCTAAGTGGAATTCATCCTGGACAGAGCTATATTTACAGTATCTGAATGTCAAGAAGAAAAACGCAATGTCAAAAAGCTAGAAAGGATAATTAAGAATTTCAAACACTGGTGGGACCAAATGGCCTCCAATAAAGTGATCAGCTGGAGCCACAGAACAAAATGAGCCAAGCTGAAACAGGAACTGAAACTTCTGAATTAAAATTGAAAAGTAAAAGCCATGCTTCTTTATTCCTAATAAACTATCGTTTTCACAGTTTTTCCCTTTCAGATTGTTGGTTGCCAAGGACCCCTTGCACGACAGAGCTCTAAAAATTATCTATAGCATAACTTCCATCCAAGTTTCTAGGATGGTAGATATTAGGACTTCACACAGGAAAGATACACGCAATGTATTTCAAGTTATGACCAAAGAAGACTTTATGATTAT